GTGTGTGTGTGTGTGTGTGTGTGTGTGTGTGTGTGTGTGTGTGTATAGAGAGAGAGAGGTTCAAAAAACACATATATGTTTAGAGACAGGTCTTTCTGAGTTGCTTAGAGCCTTGCGAAATTGTTGAAGCTGGCTTTGAATTCGGAATCCTCCTGCCTCAGTCTCCGGAGCTGCTGGGATTACAGGCTTTTTCTCTAATTTTTAAAAACCATTTACATTTATTTACTTATCCTATGTAAATAAAGTACTTTGGTGGCTCCATCTCGGTAGAGATGTTGTCCAGACTGAACACTGGGAAAGTTCCCACATTTGGCTTTTGACTCAGCTACAAGTCTTATGCAGGAACTGCAAAGCCTAACCAGACCCAAGGCTGGCGCTCCTGGAGCTGATGGCTTTGGGTTTCAAGTTGGAGGTCAAAGCTAAAGGTAAGGTGAAGGACTGAGAAAAAAGGGACCTGCCACCAGCCAGGGCAGACAGCAGGAACCATGGGGACTGGGGCTTCTCATACAGAGCAGGATCCCAATGCCAGGCCCACCGTCTCTATACCAGGAGGGTCACACCAGCTTCCCTCATCACTGCTCTCGGTTACTGGGGAGCCAGGGAACTCGAGGAAGGGCTCCAACTATTGGTCCAAATGCCGGTCAGTCTGGTGGGAGGCCCAGCCCTTTCTCTCCCCACCCAAAAGTCACTTACAACTGGTAGAGAATGGTGGTCTTTCCTGCATTGTCCAGTCCCACGATGATGACCTTGTGCTCTGGAGGCATCCGGGTAAGGTCAGAGTCAGAGCCAAACCCGATGTCCAAGGACAGGGCTCCCAGGAAGACCAGTGTTCCCAGCTGGCCGAGGGATCTCTGCCCACCGCACCACTTCTACTTCCCAACCGGCCGGGAGGACGCCTGCACCACTCCCGGACAGTGACAAAGAGAACCGAGTCCCACCTCCCTCCAAATTTCTAGAAGCGATTGCCTGAAGGGTCCGGGGTGCTCTGGGCATGCCAAGAGGAGGGGTCTGGAGAAAGATCCAAGCGGTAGTTGCAGGAAACCGAAAGCGGCTCCCCCTGCCCTGCCCCGTAGCGGTTTAGCGGGGAGGAAGGAGACTCGCCCAACTCTGCAGCCCACCCGGGGACGCACGGAAGTTTGGAGCCCGGGAGAAACCGGCTGGGAGAAGAATAGAGGAGACCGTGGAGCAGGCAAGGAGCACGCACGCGGACTCTAGTAGTCCGAGATCTCTCAGCCTGTCTGCCCAGACGACCTCCGATTGAGGGAGCCTCAGGAGACCAGAGGATCAAAGCGGTTGCTGGGATGCCCTATGTGCCTCTTACCCTGATTCCCAAAGATGCCCATCAACTTGGCGATCAGCTGTCCCATGGCAAGTCCCTAAGTGGGTAGGTGCAGGACTCGGCGGCCTGGGGGCAAGAATCTAGCCCAAGGGTTTCGAGCCCCGCCCCCGAGGGAGGGCCAGAAAGGCTTAGCCCGTGAGGACTGAGGAACCCCACCTCGCAGGTGGGACTTGGGGGTACACTGGGACTCATCTCTCGCGTGCGCAGTGGACATTACAGCGATGATGAGCTGCCTGTCCAGGGCCTTGGAGGTGCAAAGAACAATGAAGTCCCAGACTGCACCCTCCTCTTGGCCCTGAAAAAAAACTGAAGTTCTCTCTATGTTCTGCTCCTAGGCTGCAAAACAAGGGAATCTAAGCACTGCGGGGCACCAAACAATCCTAGCTCCCCCTCTACCCGCTAGAGCAAAACCCTAGACTGAAGCAAAACCCTAGACTGAAGCAAAACCCGAGGCGACCCAACTTCTGCACCTACCAGCAGAACAGAGGGCTCTCTGGTCCTCTCTTAGCTGGGAGAACATTCCAGCCTTGGGTCTTCTCTAGTTGTTTTGCTAGTGAAAGTCTTGTGGGCCCACTCAAAGTGGACTCCCCAGGGAAAGGGCAGGGTCTCCCTTCCTCCTGCAGGTCCCTCCTGCTAGGCAACATCTAGAGAGAAATTGGGGCTTCTACAATCCATTGACATACCACATGCTGCGCAGCTGATCCCACGATTGGGTGTCTGGAGATAAAGATGGAGCAAGAAGATTCCCCAGCCAGAGACCCTGCAGAGGGTCCCAGACATTAAGACCCAGCAGAGAAGAAAAAATTATTTTTGTTTGTCTAGGTTTTGGTTTTCTTTTTCTTTTCTTTTCTTTTCTTTTTTTTTTTTTTTTTTTTTTGAGACAGGGTCTTCCTGGGCTCAAGTGATCCTCCTGCCTCAGCCTCCCAGGCAGAGGAGAATAATGAGACTAAAGAGAACCAGAAGTCCAAGCAAGAGAGAAAGGGGGATATTCTTGTTTGTGAATTTCCTTCTTTGCACAAACTTGGAAAAAACCAGAAAACAAAAAGAGAAGTGGGAAAGGCAAATCAACACATCAAAGCTACTGATCCTTCCACCTTACTGCCTCTGTCCCCACAGCCCCAATGTGGCTCCCTCTGATGATGTAGCAAACCTTCAACTGGCCTGTTTCTGCACCCCCCCTCCTTTCCCAGAGCACCCTCCTCGAAGCTCTATTAGCCTTTTAAAAGCACAGCTCAGCATCTGTTATTCCCACCCACAGCCTTCAATGGCTCTCTATTGCCCACTCGCTCTGGATCAGCCTTCTAACCTGGCATTCAAGATCCTCCAGCAACAGCCCCCACCTGCTTTTGCAGTTTTACCTCCCGGGTTTTGCATCCACTGCTCCCTGCCCTTATATGTCCAGTTCTTTCCCACTTTGCCCTTCCTCCTGCATTCCCTCCACATGAATGCCTTACACCTACTCAGAAAGGGAAAATGCCTGGAACTCACTAGCTGTCTTCCCGTAAAGCCACCTATTCTCAAGCTCCCAACACATGGAACCTCTCTCCACGCTGGGGCCATAGAATGGCCTGTTTCTCTCAATCACCTGTGAACCCTAGAGGCTGGGTTTCCTATCTTGTTCACCAGTGTTTGTCCCCCTCCCCACCTGGTTCAGTGCCTGGCATACAGTTAGGAATGTGTTGTCATTAGGTTGACTTAGGACAAGTTAAGCTACAGCCTGAGAATGTGCGCTTGGAGTATTAAAAAAAGAATGTGGGGCCTGATGTGGTAGAGCACACCTATAATCCAGTATCTCTGGAGACTAAGGAAGGAGGATTACAAGTTTAAAGCCAGCCTCACCAATTTAGCAAGGCCCTGTCTCAACATTTTAAAAAAAAAAAGGGGGCTGGGGATGTGGCTCAAGCGGTAGTGCGCTCGCCTGGCATGCGTGCAGCCAGGGTTCGATCCTCGGCACCACATACAAACAAAGATGTTATGTCCGCAGAGAACTAAAAAATAAATATTAAAAAAATTCTCTCTCTCTCTCTCTCTCTCTCTCTTATTAAAAAAATTCTCTCTCTCTCTCTCTCTCTCTCTCTTTAAAAAAAAATTTTTTTTTAAAGGTCTAGGAATGTGGCTCAGTGGTTAAGCGCCCCTGGGTTCAATCTCCAGTACCAAAAAATAAAAAAGGACTGGGGTGTAGAGCATCCCTGAGTTCAATCCCCAATATAAAAAAAAAAAAAAGAAAAGAAAAGAATATGGGCACAGGATTGAGGGAGGCCAAAAAGTTTGTGGAGAGCAGAGGCAAACAGCTCACTACATAAAGACTTTTGATTCATCCAGTTTGGTGCCCAGAGAGATAGAAGCCTGGAAAAGTGACCTTCAAGCCCATTTGGGCTGATTTCATTTCAGCCCTGGGAAAGAAGGGTCTGGGACTGGGGCTGGTGGGGGCCAAGGAGGGTGCTGGGGGAAGCAACAGTGCTTTAAGTGATTTTACCATCTGTTTCCTGGGAGAGAAAGGAACCTTTAAGTGCCTTCCCCCGACACACACACATACCCAATTGCAGAATTGAAAGTGACACTGCAAACTAGGAGCACATTCAATAAACAGACAAGATCTGCCTGCCTCAGGAGACCCAGGACTGGGCTCTTAGGAGGCATTCATCCATTCACTCATTCATCTGTTCATTTCACAAATGAGTCAAACACAACCAAGCAGCCAAATCCTCCAGCCTGGGTCTCCATGGACCCTTCAAGTCTGGAGAGGGAGATAAACACACTCGTGCACACACACTCTCACACTCTGAGAGACAGCAAAGTGGGCACCCTTCTTCAAGGAAACAATTACTGGAGTTAACACAAGATGTCTCTTTAGCCTACTAGACTGGGATACCCCCTTGACCCTGGCCCATGGTGACCTCAGCTCAGCTTGCTTTATTTTACAACAGTGGAAACCTTAGTTCACACCTGGTATTTGTGGCCTACCCCACTTCAGCTCACTTAGGGACAGAATCCTCCACAAAATGTAAGCAGCTAGCCAGGGAAGCAGGTAAAGGAAGGGTGCCAGGTAGGAAGGGTCCCCAAGGCTTCACTTCCTGAGTCCCTGGGGGCAATCAGAGCAGCAGAGCCTGCTGACGACATGGCTGTTGAAATCCTCACATGTTGACAACCACATGTGCTGACTGAGCAGCCAACTTTGGTTAAGGGTTTGTGGTTACCAAGAAACAAGAATTTCTCCCCATTTCTCAGTATCTCCAGTCCTTGCCTGCAAGTTCTAAGCAAAGGTAACTTCAGGCAGAAGGTACATGAGAGGAGACAGAAACACTCAGACTCCTGCTTCCTCCCCCTCCCCAACTCCCTACTCCCAACTCTTGCAGAAGCTAGTGCATCCTGGGGTAGAGGAATTAGCACTGGACTTGGGGGTCACAGGCACCATGGAATCAAAATGTGAATTTGACTCCTTTGCTCTATAGCTGTGTAATTACAGACTAGTCGCTTAGTCTCTCTGAACCTCTCTGCAGAGGTTCAGCTCATTGTGCCCAGCTGTCTTCTCTTCTCCCCTCAAATGTCCCACAGGAAACTTAAACCCCTTTATGCAAAGCCAGACTCATTACTTCTGCTCTGATCTGTTTTTAACCTCCTTCTTTTGTCTGGAAAGACTACTACCCACTGTCACTCTCTCCCTTACTGGCTACCTCTACTTGTTCTTCAAGAGCTCTGGATTCTATCTGCTAGATGTCACTGTGGTATAAGGCACAGCCTCATTTCCACCTTAGTGACCAGCTTTCCAAGTGAGGCCCTCTAATTCATGCTCCAACCAAAGCAATCTTGTCATTGCTATTTATAATCCTTTAATTTCTTTCTTTGGGCGGGGGACTGGAGATTGAACTCAGGAGCACTCAACCACTGAGCCATATTCCCAGCCCCTTTTTGTATTTTATTTAGACAGGGTCTCACCGAGTTGCTTAGCACCTCCCTGTTGCTGAGGCTGGCTTTGAACTCAGGATCCTCCTGTCTCAGCCTCCTGAGCCGCTGGAATTACAGGCACAGGCCACCACACCTGACTAATCCTTCAATTTCTGAGCACTAGCTTCAGAACAAAAAATAAACCTTTTGGGTACAGAGCATTAAACACAGGGGTTCTCTGCTACTGAGCTACATCTCCAGTGCTTCCCCCGGTTTTTAGATAAGGTCTCACTGTGTTGCCCAGGCTGAGCCTTGAACTTGTGATCTTCCTGCCTGAGTAGCTGGGATTACAGGTGTTCACCACCATGCCCAGCAAAAAACAAATGGCCTGCTCCTGCCAACCCCTCTCTGGCCTCCACCTCACCATGCTTTGTTAGTGAAGTGCCAAAAACTTGTCATGCTTGTGCCTGGTTCCTCTGCCTTGAACACCCCCCTACTTTTCTATCTGGCTTAACCTCCAACTTTGCTTCTAGACTCCACGCAAGCCTCACCTCCTCTATGAAGACTTCCCTGATTTCCCCAGGTTGAGAGTGTGACCCTTTTCCAGGTTCCCTCATTACCAGTGCTTCTCACAGCACACAGCTCATGTTCAGTACTGGAATTATCTGCAGGTTTCACGTCAACTTGCCCCTGGGACCTAGGAGATGCCTAATAAATGTATATCCAGTGAATAAACAAGGAATAAATGATCAATCCCATGGGAAAGTGGTGGAAAGAGTACCAAGCTAGAAGCAGAGACCCTGCTCTTATCAACTTTGCCATCAACCCTCTGGGGAGCTCCAGTCAGCCACCTGACACCTGGGTCTGCCAGTTCCTCTTTGATCTGCTAACTCATCTGTGGGCCTTCCGGTGTCTGTTGCCTTCCACACACATACACACACATTTTGGGTTACCGCCTCAAAAACAAGAACAAGGAGGGTGAGAGAGCTTGCAGGTGCTCCATGAGGTAGGATATAGGTGATGGCAGGAATTACTGCGCCTCTGCGGAGCCAGAAGCTCAGCCCTCCCTCCCCAAGATTCTGGGGTGCAGTGAGGCCAGAAGGAGAACAAGCATGTACCTTTAAGATTTTGCACTTAACTACATCCCAGGTTCCCATTTCCCCTGGCTCTGCATGTGGGGAGACAGGTATGGTGTGGGCTTAAGAGTGGCCATGCAGCCCTGGCAGGTTTGCACATACTCCAGAAGGCCACAAGCCAAGCCCTGTCCTGTGGCAGCTTCTTCCTGCCTCTCCCCTTGGCTCGCCCCCTCTGGCAGCAGCAGTCTGTGCAGAGGCTGCAAGGCTGCCAGACAACCCTGCGGCGGGAACAAAGAAGCAGGCTGGAAGGTGGCCGCAAAGGACTGGACGGCGGTTTTATATGTGGCAAAATACTTCTCCTAGAAGAGTACAGACAAGTAGACAGACAGATGGGGCACAGGACACCAGACAGGGAGAGGGAAAGATCAGGCAGTGGTGTCTTCTAACCAGTAAGTGGAAGCTGCACCCCACCCCACGTGGGGGCACGACAACATTGGCACAGGAGGTGGCGAGACAGGCCTGAGGTGCCCATCCCTGAGGTGGGCAGCCGGGCAGGGCCCAGTCCTCGTTGGCACAATCGGCTCTCTCTGGCCCAGCTGGGATGCTGGGAAGGGGCAGGGCTGCTAGGCTGTGGGGGTGCGGGGACAGAGGGTGCCCCAGGGGCTACCAAGGCCTCTCCTGGGGGAAGTGGACACCAATGAAGGACAGGATCACAAGAGGCAAATATAGAGAAGCAGCAGCAGCAGCCAAGCCCCCCAAGGGAGATCTGAGGTCCCCAGGTGGCCAGGCAACCCCAGGATGGTAGTCATTTCCTGGACACCAACCCACAGGGCCTCTCTCCTGGGACCTCAGGATGAAGGTGAAGGAGCAGTTTTTTTGGTTTAGAATGAGGTGGACCAGAGTGTTCCATGGTCTCCACACCCAATGGCATGGAGTTAGGGGGCTCAGATGCAGAGGGCCCCCTTCTTCTGATGGCAGCAGGCAGGGGATGTCGTAGGCAAAGCTCATTCCTGGGGTAGGTGAGAGCTGAGGCATGGAGGTGGGGTGGGTAGCAGCATGTCGGGTCACCCACTCTTCAGGGCTCTAGGGTTCTAAGCCCCTGCATGGCCAAGGCCAAGAGGGCAGCTGAGCCTGTCATTTTCCACCCTAACCCCTCCCCCCAAGGCGAGCTCGCTACCGGTCTCCATGTTATACCTTTTACCTACCCGACAATGCTGCCAGGAAACCGGGGCAGGGGGTGGGCATGGTGAGGGACCCTGGATCTGGGGCTTGAGAGAGAGCCACATAGGGAAGATTCTGTGTCCTCCCTCTCAAGAAAAACGCCCAACTCTCCAAATACACCAGTTTGGGAAAAAGAAGGGTCGCCCCATTTAGGACCTTCAATTAGAACCCAGAGTAGAAAGTTAAGGAAGTGCACCTTTTCTCTGGGAGGAGAGCCCCCTAAGATGGGGGAAAGGGGACACTTCAGAAAGGTGGATATCCCCACTCCATCTACAGCAGGTAGGGGTAAGCCTACAGCTGGGGCTCAAGGGCCTCTCAGGAGCTGGGATGATATCACCAAAGAAACCCCAAACATTGAGCCAAGGCATCTGAATGGAGGGAGACAGCGCCCCCTGGAGGCAGGACACGTCTCAGGTGATGAGCCCCTCTGTTCCTCCCCTCCCCAGGGCTCAGAGCCCTTCCTCCCACTGGGCAGCCCCGTCCTCTCAGCGGATATAGACGCCTCGCCCCCAGCCCTCCAGCTCATTCTTGTTGCGCCCAAGAACCGGACCCCCGCCATCTGCGCAGTAGCGGGCCTTATTCCGGCCGCGGTTCCTGTTGTCAGTGAGCTCCTCCTCATAGTCTTCTTCCTCGTCCTCCCAGGAGCCCTGTCGGGCTGGGGGGGTGCCGCCCCCTGCAGGGTCTCCAGGCCCTGGCCCCTCTGAGGGGTCAGTCTCCATGTCCACACACGAGTCTCCCAGCTCCGTGTAGGCAGAGTTTCGGCTGCCGGGGGTGTCAGCATCGAACGTGTCTTGGCGGGACAGAGCCCGCAGGGTGCCTGCCCGGCCTGGTGGGTGGCTGCTGGGGTAAAGACCCGGGGGCTGGCCCAGCTCCCCCGGGTACTCGTGCACGTTGGCGTGCTCCCCGGTGGCCCGTTCCAGTGGCTGGTCCCCGGAAGCAAGGTAGGGTCCCTGGTTAGCAGACAGACGGCACACACCATGCAGATCAGGCAGGGGTGAGAAAAACACAACAAAGCAAGGCAGGTTAGTGAGGACACCAAGACACCCAGCCTGGCCGAAGGAGGTCGCTGGCTTTGGGAAAGGGGCACCAGATCAGGAAAATGGCTCTAAAGCCCAGTGGACAGGCCTCGGTGCATCTGTTCCTCTATTAGGACAGGATGCCCAGCTTCATCAGACCTCACATGCATGAACTTTCCTGGTAACCATGGAAGGGAGCCCCTGAACAATTAGTCACCTCTTCCTCAATACATGTTATTAATGCTGCCTTGAGGTTAATCATCATTAACAGCTCATTAGTATTGCCACTCAGTGGATGACTGGGTTAGTCAATGCCTCCACTTTTCCAAATACAGTAAGTGATTTCAGCTCAAACTCACTGACCCCAGCTTCTTCAGCCCACATCAGACCTCAATCACAGATTTCCAGAACCCCACGCTGCTCCTCCCATTCCCTACACAGATGAGTCTCTAAGGTCGATGGGATTCCTTCCCTATCGGCAATAAGGACTCAAAGCATCGAACTGGGAAGGTTAATAGGTCTCCATCCTCCAGTGAAGACCATGAGATGGCCCAATGTCCTCATCACCAGATGCCACATGAAAGTGAGCTGACGGCCACTGCCACCACAGAGGTTGTTGGGTGAGGTACAAAGAGGCCCAGGTTAAAAGTCCTTCCCCTACCACCACTTCAAGCTGTGTGACCCTAAACAAAATGATTCTGTCTCTGTGGCCCAGTTTCTTGATTGCAGTATGGTGGGGATTAGACTACAGAAGCAGTTTCCAAACTATTTCCTGAAGATGTGGGGTGGGGTGGGATGGGATGGGGAGAGCATAAAAGTGCTTTCAGGATCCCTAGGGAGGTGATGGGGAGGCAGGGTCCTGGTTCCCTCTGAACTGAACAAGGATGCCTCATCTATATATTCAGCTTCCCCCTGAGATTCAGTGAGGCTGTGGCTGAAAACAAATTTGAAAAGCAGCAGTCTAGAATGACTTCATGGATTTCTTGTGATGCTAACCTAGAATCATATTCTTAATGGTGTATACTTAATGGTCCCAGAGATGGGCTGTGACTCCCGTGGGAAGAAGGAGAGGCAGGAAGGGACACCCACAGGACAGACTTTCCCGGACTCTGTTTAACTGGGAGAAGGGTAAAGGGCACAGCACCAACTCATAGAAGATGCTCCATTCTGGGCTGCTCCCAGGGGCTTTCTGCAGTTAGGGGTCCAGGGTTAGGGCAGTGTCTCTGGATTTAAAGGTCCCTGCTCTAATGGGTTTCCCTGGGTCTAAGGGCCCCTGCCACGTTGGGTCTAAAATGGGTGTGGAGTCCAGTAAATGAGTAGGTCAGTCTTCCTCATATTTTCTTCAGTTCTTATAAGCGGCCCAATCAGGCCTCATGTCCAATGGGCAGCAGATTTAGTCCTAGTTGCGGAACCAGGCCCAGGGAGGCAGCACCAGCCAGCCCCAGACCCACCAAAAACCACAGACACCAGAAGCTGCCGCTCACCACATTTTTTACAAAATAAAGCTCTTCCCTTCCTTCCCCACGTTCCCTGCACTCCAGGGCGGGAGGGAAGATGGGTGGGGCACCCGCTACATGGCGTGCTCCTGCTGCTGCTGCTGCTGGGGCACCGCGCCGCCGCCCCGCTGGGAGGCCTCCAGCCCGCCCCAGAAGCTGAGGTTTCTCCTGAGGGAGGTGAGCACCTGTACCTGGAGGTTGGAGACGGGGGCAGGGCTGGCTGCCAAGGCTGCGGTAGCCATGGTGCGGTTCAGCAGCGGATTGGGTGGTGTGCTGCTGGGCGGGTGCGTGGCCTTCCAATAGGCTTCCAAATACTCAGCCAAATGCTCGCAGGCATCCTCCAATTGGTTCTCGTCCAGGATGATGTCAAACATTTCCTGTGGAGGTGGGGTTAGGGGCAGGGCTGGGATGAGCGGGGGCGTGACCAAGGGGTTGAGGGTGTGGCCTGGGTGCAGTGGGTGGAGCCAAGGGGGTTGAAGGACAAGGTTAAAAAGGCCTCTGGCTGTACAGGAAGGGAAGGAGAACGCTCAGATGTACAAATTAGCAGAACTGTAAGAGATCTGGTAGTCCAACTCAGCCCAACTCCCTTATTCTAGAGACAACCTAAGTTGGGAGAGGGGGCTTGGCTCCCCATGGAGAAGGGATGCTTCAGCCCACTCTGCCTGTCCAGTCCACCTTCCTCCAAAACAAGTCTGTACCTAAAGACCTGGCCCAGGTGTTCCCACTCTGTCTCCAGTGCAGGCCAGAGGAAACCAGGTGAACCCAAATTCCTTCCCCTCCCAAGGTCTGAGCACTTACAGGGGGACATTGTGCCAGCTTCTCCGAGGCTGCTATTTGGACATTGAGGTGTTTGGACTGAGACTTCCCTCGGGATTTGATGAGCCTCTGAAGTACCTGGTTTGGGGAGAAGAGGAGGAGGAGTTAGAGGGGCCCAAGCAATGCACCAAGTGAGAAAGGCAAGTTCTGGTTGGAGTCAGTGTCAGGATGGTAAATGTTCCATGACTCTCAGCCTTGAGCACCTCTGTAGGAATGACCTTACCAGCCCTATGTCCACCCTGTACAATGTTCAGGCTCTCTTCTGGGTCTCATGACCACCTCTCCTTGAGAGCTACATGAAAGGTAGTGATACTAGTTCCCCACCCCTCTAACCTGGTCTGTAGCCCTCATTCTCCAGGCTCACTCCCCTGCACTATGTTAGCAACAGCAGGCATCTTTTGGAGGGTGCTTGCTAGGTACCAGCACTGTTCTATGCTTTTTGTTTAAGTAGAGGAGGCAGGGTCTCACTATATTGTCCAGATTGGCCTTGAACAGGCCGTGGCTCAAGCAGTCCTCCTGCCTCAGCCTCCCAAACAGTTGGGACTACAGGCATGTACCTCAACCTTTTTATGTGATCAATTTAGTTCTGTCAACAGCACTGAGATAGCTATTATTATTGTCATCCTAACAATAATGATAGGTATAATAAAAGAAAAAACTTAAATCTAGTTATGAGAAAATATCTAACAAATTCCAAATGAGGGACAGTTTACAAAATGGCTGACCTGTTTCCTCCAAAATGCCAGTGTCATGAAAACCCAAGAAAGGCTGAAGAATTGTTCCATATTAAAGAAAGCAGACCTACAACTAAATGCAACAGGTGATCCCAACCTAATTCCTGGATTAGGGGAAATGTTGCCTTATATAAGGGCATTATTGGGTCAACTGGTGAAAGACAACTATGAATTGCATTTTATGTCCAATGGGCAGCAGATTTAGTCCTAGTTGCGGAACCAACTATTTGTAATTTGTAATCTTCCTGCATCAGCCTCCCAAATTGCTGGGATTATAGGCATGCACCACCATGCCCAGCTAATGTGAATTGTATCTTTTTTGCGGGAGAAGGGCAGTACCAGGGATTGAATTCAGAGGCACTTGGCCATTGAGCCACATCCCTAGCACCATTTTTTTTTAAATATTTACTTTTCAGTTTTTGGCGGACACAACATCTTTGTTTGTATGTGGTGCTGAGGATCGAACCCAGGCCGCAAGCATGCCAGGCGAGCGCGCTACCACTTGAGCCACATCCCCAGCCCCCATTTTGTATTTTATTTAGAGACAGGGTATCACTGAGTTGCTTAGTGCCTTGCCATTGCTGAGACTGGCTTTGAACTCGCTATCCTCCTCTCTCATCCTCCCAAGCCGCTGGGATTATAGGTGTGAATCATATCTTAATAGAGCTGTTAAAATTTTAGTGAATTTTTGGCTGGGTACAGAGATGCACATGAAGCCTTAAGCAACTTAATGAGACCCTGTCTCTAAATAAAAATAAAGAAGGGATAGGGAGTGTAGCTCAGTGGTACAGTGCACCTGTGTTAAATCTCCAGTATCACTAAAAATGTTTTTTAAAATTAGTGAATTTGAATGAAGGGTATTCAAAGAACAGAAGTTCCTTGAGCTATTGTTGCAACACTTCTGTTAAATTGAAATTATTTGAAAATAAAATACTGGAGGGAGGATACTGGGAATTAAGCCCAGGGCCTTGTGCATGCTACACAAGCACGATACAATTGAGTTACAGACCCAGCCTCAACTTCCTTATGTGGCAGATGAGGAAACTAGGGCACAGAGATGTTAGGTGACTTGCCAAAGGAACACGTGCTGGTAAATGACAGCCTGGGTAGAAAATCCAAGCAATCTGGCTCCTGAGTCCCTGCCCTAAACCTCAGTGGGGCAAAATGAAAGCCTTTGTTACTGTCTAGGTCACAAAGTGGTTTTGCATCCATTATCTCATTTGATCCTTTCAACCTCCCCCTCCTTCAAATACTTAAATCCCATCATCCCTTTTATCTCATTAGAAACTTAAGGACTCAGAAAGGCTAAGTAACTGGCCCAGGGTGCTCAGCTCATAAGAAGCTACCATGGAACAATAATAGTTACCACTGTTGGCTGCCATCAAGAATCAAACAGTATATGCTGGGCTCTTTACATCAAGTACCTCCAGTCCTCTCAGAAATAACACAAGAGAAGCTAAAAGTTCCTCAGGGATACAATGTGTGCTTTGCATGTGTCAGGCCCTCAGTTCAATCCCAGACAACAAATATAATAAAAACTTAAGAGAGGGATTATAACCTCATTTTGCAGGTGAAGAAATTGAGGCTCAGAGACTAAATAATTCCCCCCAGATCCCAAACTTAATAAAAACAACAACAAACCAACAATAAGTATATAAACCAACAAGAACAAGGATTTGAACCTCGTGCTATCTTCAAACTTTAAAACCTTTGCCTAAACTCTTTTCCATGTTTCTTAAATATTTACTAACATCTGGAAGGGAAAGTTCATGGAGCCACAACCCAACAAAAAAAGTAAACCAGTGGCTGGGGTTGTGGCTCAGTGGCAGAATGCTTGCACGTGTGAAGCACTGGGTTCGAACCTCAGCACCACATATAAATAAATAAAATAAAGGTATTGTGTTCATCTACAACTAAAAACATAAAAAAAAAAGAAAGTAAACCAGCTTTCCAACAAATATTCTCTACCAGTCTGAATAAAGACAGAAGAGCAGGAAAAAGCTGATACCAAGCCAGGCACAGTGGCACACACCTGTAATCCCAGGGGCTTGGGAGGCTGAGATAGGAGGATCCCGAGTTCAAAGCCAGCCTCAGCGATGGCGAGGCACTAAGCAACTCAGTGAGATCCTGTCTCTAAATAAAATACAAAATAGGGCTGGGGATGTGGCTCACTGGTCAACTGCTCCTGAATTCAGAAGACAAGAAAGACCCCACAACTGTCAAGTAGCTGAGTGACACTGGGACAAAGAAAAAACAAAATGATTTCTTTTAGTTTTCTGGTCCAATCACAGAAGGTCAACCAAAGTATAGACAGGGGACTGGCCTACATGATCCTAATAATATTAGTCATAGCTACCACATGATGAGGTGTATTGTCCCAGGCCCTTTGGCAATGTATCTTGGGCAGCATCTTCATGATATGCATACAGTAGAGTCTTACAGAGAAGGAAACCAAAGCTCACAGCAATCAGGTCATCCGGTAGTAAGGAGTAGAGGAGATCCAAGCAGCCCAACTTCAGAACACTCCTTTTAAACCATGCACCCACCTTGGGAGAGGTGATCTTGATGTAAACAATGATGGGGGCCAACGAGGTCTTGGAGAGCTGAGCTGGGTGGTTGATAGTGTCAGCGTCCAGAGCCACCAACTGAAGAGTCCGAGCCAGCTCGAAGATCCGCTCAATCTCACTCTGTACCTCAGCTTGGGGGCACCAAGGCATGGGGAGAGGGAATGTAAGGCTGCCCCCAGGAAGCAGTGGATGGACGGAACACTTCTGGTCCTTCCACCCACCACCTCTCACCCTACCCTAGTGCAGCCCAGAAGAGGGGAGTACGGAAGGCAGGCTCGGCTCACCCAGGCTGGAGCGTGTGTTGGAGCGCTCAATGATGATGTGCTTGCTGGGGTTGTTGAGGACTGAGCGCTTGGCCAGGGAAATGTCAGCTGTCACCCTAGTGATGGAGATCCTGGGGACGGGGAGGAGGAGGGAGTCAGGAGCCAGGGTGGGCTAGAATGTCTTGCCCACTCTTCAGACTGTAGACCTGCCCACTATCCCTCAGTCCAAGAGTCCTAAGATTGTCCTTCAAGACACCCTACTCCTCCCAGCACAGAGAGCCACAATGGGTGTGGATAGATGGTTCTCTGGGTCTTACCTGCCATCAAATCGATGCTTCAAGAAGTCAAATAAAGCTTTCTGCATCATGTCTGTAACCTGGGGTTGGATGTTTGGAGGAAGGAGGGAAGAGAATTCAGGCATTTAAAGCTGCTCAGAGGCGGGTGAGGTGGCACATGCTTATAATCCCAGTGGCTCAGGAGGCTGAGACAGGAGGATCCCTAGTTCAAAGCTAGCTTCAGCAACTGCTAGACACTAGCAACTCAGTGAGACCCTGTCTCTAAATAAAATACAAAATAGGGCTGGGGATATGGCTTTTGAGTCCCCTGAGTTCAATCCCTAGTACCCTGCAAAAAGAACCTGCTCAGGAAATTGAGCTGCTGGGCATTTATACCCTTACTTTTTATTTTCTTTTCAAATTTCGGAGATGAAGGGACCTCTATGGAGGGCTCCCCGACTCTGAGGGGCCTCCCATGCAGTCTCTGATTCCAAAAATCCTTTATTTTTTTTTATATCTTTATTTTATTTTTGTGTGGTGCTGAGGATTGAACCCAGGACCTCACGCTTGGCAGGCAAGTGATCTACCTCTGAGCCACAACCCCAGCCCCCCAAAAATCCTTTAAGGTGGGTCTCTGGGAGGGCTCTCCAGGGATTTCTTCAGGGAACTGGGCCCTTCTGAATGGGTCTTCCATGGGTCAGGCTCCTCTGTGATTTTTCTCTGAAGGTCTATAGCCTTCTGGAGAGGACACCCTGGGGATCTGGGCCCTTCTGGGGGACCTCTCTATAGTCTGAAGATATTCCTATGGTGTCTTTCTGGAGGTCTGGGCTTCTCCGGGCCCACTTCCCTCTTGGGTTCCTACCTCATAGCCCTTGAGCGACGGTCCCACCAGGATGATGGGCCTCATGGAAGGCACCACGTCATAAGGGGGCACATGCTCTGTCTGAGGGAAGCAGGGAGGGGAAATCCCAGAGTAGAGGTGACATCAGACCCTCTCTTCCAGCCTCTAAGCTTCCCCCATGCATCCTTTCCTCCCCCTGGTCCCAGTGCCCAGATGTAGGGATCAGGGCAGGGATGGATAGGGATGGCCATGGAGAACCAGGAAGGGTGGGGAATGGGAGGCAGATATGGGAACGGGTGTTAGACGGCCCCCCAGCTCATCCCGGGTGTGCGAGGGGGGACACAGAAAGCTGTGATACTCACCGACTTTTGCTTCTGTTTGGCTGGGTCCAGAGATTGCCAGGAGAGGGGAGGGGAGGAGAGAGGGGAGGGCACCCAGGCAGGGGCAGAGGGCAAGGAAGGAGCCAGGACAAGAGAGGGTGGGAGAGCGGGCAGACGAGGAGAGATAACAGGGCATGCGTGTTAGTGACAGACAGAGCCAGAGAGAGGGGACGGGACCCCATGCCAAGGGGGAGCCAGAGGTAGTCCTGGACCAGGGTTGGAGCAGGACTGACGGGCAGTCCAAGGGACTCAGTAATGATTAGACCCCCCTTTCTGAGTCTTGGAAAAGAACTGGAGAAAGTGGCAGCCCCTAATGTGGTGCCCACCTCCGGCCCCCGATGCACATGTACATGTCCATTTTAAGGGTTCCCTTGACTATCTTGCCAAGCAGTCAGTGGATCCCTCATGTGCCCACCAATGGAATTAGAAAAGGGCAAAGAAGGAACATCATTCCATTTTCCTCTTCAGAAGCCAGAGTGGGGGCACCCGTTGGAATATTCCATTCCATTGGTAATGAGGGCAAAGGTCAGGATTCATTACCACCAGACCCTGCTTCCTCAGGGTGGACAGCCTTCCAAGGGTAACAACCAGCCCTCCCTGGGGGTGGACTAGGGTGGGGTGTGTGTGGAGAGGGATGTGCCCATTGCACACACCCCTCCAGATCCACGGGAAGCTCTGAGGCACAGGACAGGCTGCACAGTATCTGCACCCACCCCAGCCCCCTCTCTCTGCCAAAAAGCTGGGCCCTGACCATCCCCTCTTAAGAACCCAGCAAGAATTACCTTCTTAAAGAAGGGGATGCGTTTGCCATGAGGCGGCGGGGTGGTGACACTGCTAACACTAGTCTTGGCAGAGCTGCTCTGCTCACCAAACTCGGCCTCCTCCTCCTCTAACTCTAAGGGGTCTAGTTCAAAGGCTAAGTTAGTCATTTCATTACCTGGACAGGAGTCAGAAGAGAGGGAGGAAGGAGGTGAGAGAAGAGGAGTGAGATGGACGTGGAGACACAGTACAGAACACAGGGATGGGGATGGGGAGAAAAGAAAGAAGAAGAGGTGAATGGAACAGGGTTGGGAGAAATGAATGGGGTCAGGGGCGATGGGTAGGGGGCAGATAGAGAGATGGAGCTACCAAAGAAAGGGGAGAGGAGAGACAAGACAGGCCCAGCTTGCACGGTACCCTATTGTTCATAGAGGGAGTACTACTGCATGTGTTTTGGGGACTCAGAATTGGGGTGCCCCTATACAGGGAGAAGAGGGCCAGACAGTGGGGAGACCACCCCCAGAAGCTCCCCCCACCCCAGGGATGGCAGCAGCTCTTACCACTGGCAGGGGGTGTGGGGCGGCGGGTGCCAGTCACCACGTCTCCCAGACTGGAACTGGAGTTGTCACCTGATTTGCTGCGTAGGCAGGGAGGCAAACGGAGCTGGTGAGCAAAGGGGTGGGCGTGGGAATGGGGGAGTCTTGTCCTGTACAAGCTGCACTCTCTGGAGTTTTCCAGCCCCCGTGGTGATAGCTCTGTGCCCTCAAGGCTAAAGTCAGCCCTGAGGCCTAGTCCTGGCTGAGGGCCTCTCCTGAGGTTGCAGCAGCCACCCCCCTGCCACGTACCTGGAGCTGAGGCGATTCTGGCGAAGCTTCTGTTCCTGAATCAGGCGTAGGCTGTCCAGTTTGACAGGGCTGGGGATGAAGCCAACCTCACAGCCTTCCTTCACCAGGCGCCCAATCCACCAGTCATTATTGTATTTCTGAAAACAACAGCAGGTAGGGTGGGGGAGAGCAAAAGGGAGACTGGAGGCGCAAGACAGCAGTCACCCTTTGTGGGAACCCCCCAGATTTGCTGACCCTACTGGAGGATGGCACCTTCAAAGATGTCCACCCTCTAAAGTCTCAAGATAACTCTTGAGACCAGCATCCTCTCTGGCCACAGACTATCCTTCCCTTAGAGAGGAGGTGAGAGTCCCCCACTCCCTCCCTCCCTGGGACCACCCTGCTGTAGACAGAGAGTAGGAGTAAATGCACATTCACAGGCCCGATACACTGTTACTCTAGTCATAGACCTCATGATAAATCAGCCTCATAACCTAAGTATTACCACCTATTTGACAATGAAAAATTAGCAGCTCAGAAAGGTGGAGAAATTTATCTAAGGTCACATGGCGCATTCAGCCCAGCTCTGCTCAACTCAGAAGGCTTTCTTTCCCACTGGAGCTCCAGCTGCTCCTCTCCTGGTACCTACGCCTTGCCCTCCCACCAAATGCCAAGCACTCTCCCCACCTCCTTGATATGCAAGAAGTCCTTAGGCTCAAAGGTGATGGCCACTCCCTGCACCGGCACCTCATCCCCTGGAGATGGATTGTAGCCGACATTTGTCCGCACAGCAAATGCTACTGGCTTGGTCTAGAGGAAACACACCAGGGAAGGTGACACCAGAGGGTTAAACCATAATGTACTATACAACTTCCTGCCAGGAGTGGGAATTACACTAATGTTTGCTTTGTGACTTGCTCATTAAAATGTATACTGGAAGAGCCAGGCATGGCAGTGCACACCTAAAATCCCAACAACTTAGGAGGCTGGGGTAGGAGGATTGCAAGTTTGAGGCCAGCCTCAGCAACTTAGTAAGACCCTGTCTCAAAATCAAAAAAAAAAGAAAGAAAGAAAGAAAAATTAAAAAGGGCTGGATGTAGCTCAGTGGTAAAGCATCCCTAGGTTCAAACCCTAGTACCAAAAAGAAAAAATAAGTAGAAGCTAGCGTTGTAGCTCAATGGCAGAGCACTTGCCTAGCACTTGTAAGACACTGGGTTTGATCCTCAGAACCACATAAAAGAAATAAATAAAACAAATATATTATGTCTCTCTTTACAACTAAGAAAAAAAAGATATATATATGGTGGATAATTTATAAATGTATGCTAACTTTTACAATAAAAAAAGAAAGGCAAGGCCAGGCTTGGTAGTGCACACCTGCAATCCCAGAAACTCAGCAGGCTGAGCAGGAGGATGGCAGATTCAAGGCCTGCCTTGGCAACTTAGCAAGACCTTGTTTCAAAAGAAAAAATAAATAGGGCTGAGATTGTAGCTCAGTGGTAAAGTGTCCCTGGATTTAATCCCCAAAATCATCAAATAATAATAATAATAGTAATAATGAGGGACTGGGGTTGTGGCTCAGCGGGAGAGCACCCGCCTGATGTGTGTGAGGCACTGGATTTGATCCTCCGTACCACATATGCATAAATAAAATAAAGGTATTGTGTCACCTACAACTAAAAAAAAAAAATATGTTTAAAAAAAAGGCAAACTGGGCTGGGGATGTGGCTCAAGCGGTAGCGCGCTCGCCTAGCGTGCGTGCGGCCCGGGTTCGATCCTCAGCACCACATACAAACAAAGATGTTGTGTCCGCCGAGAACTAAGAAAAAATAAATAAATGTTAAAATTCTCTCTCTCTCTTTCTGTCCCCCTCTCTCTCTCACTCTCTCTTTAAAAAAAAAAAAGGCAAACTGAGGCTAGGCTCAGTGACTTACTTATTAAAAAAAAATAGTAATAATGAAAGTCACTGCTGCTTACTGTGCCTGGTACTGTTATAGGTTTCACATGCATTATTTTATTTACTCATCACAAAATTCCTATAATTATCGTTATTATCTTCATTTAATTAACTTATTTTTATATGAATGTATTTCATCCCTAGAAAAAGAATCCCTCCTATGTGTTTTTGCCTTTGTGGTACAGGATATCAGCCGAGGTTATCAGAACAACGAAATCAAACTGATGAAAGCAGATCGTGCTGCCATTGTTCTCCTTTCCTCTCTTCTCTTTTCGAGACAGTTCTGCAATGTTGCCCAGGCTAGCCTATAACTCCTGAGCTCAAATGATCTTTAGCCTCAGCCTCCTGAATAGCTAGGACTAGGGCTGGGGATGTGGCTCAAGCGGTAGCGCGCTCGCCTAGCATGCGTGCGGCCTGGGTTCAATCCTCAGCACCACATACAAAAAAAGATGTTGTGTCCGCCAAGAACCAAAAAATAAATATTAAAAAAATTCTAAAAAAAAAAAAAAAAGAATAGCTAGGACTATAGACACACACCACTGTGCCACTTTCTAGATCTTTGAGCCATACACTGAATCTGAGGCCAACCACTCCACACCTGTTTAACCTGCCTTTGGGAGGGGCGGGGGTTCACAGTCTTCCTAGTTCCATGGTCATCAATAATTTTAAATCTCCAATATAACCACACTTACTTCATCACCATGGTTAGGAATCAGAAGATGACCTTAAAGCAGGACCTAATAAGAATCTAGCATTTCCTTCTTTCCGACATTGTTGATGCTCCCAAGAGCAATGGCTAGGACATTCACATGCACCATTATGGCAGCAAAGAAATACGGAAAAAGAACTATCTTTATTTTAATGAATAAAGGAAATTGAAAATCAGAAAAGAAGTGGCTTGCTTAATATCCACAGCAATTAAGAGTCAGGGAGGAAGCTGGGTACAGTGATGCACATTTGTTATCCCAGCCACTTGGGAAGCTGATGCAGAAGGATCACAAGTTTGAGGTGATTCTCTGTCTCTGTCTTAAAATACAAAATAAAAAGCACTGGAGATGTAGTTTAGTGCCTCTAGGTTAAATCTCCAGTACCAAAAAAAAAAAAAATCAGGGCTGAGATTCCAGCTCAGGAAGTTTGATTCCAGGAAGTAGATATTTTTCTTTTCCATTTATTCATTCATTCATTCATTCATTTGTGTACTGGGAATCAAACCCAAAGATGGTCTCTATCAGTGAGCTACATCCCCAGTCCCATACCCTCACTTTTTTTTTTTTTTTTAAAGGAAGGGTCACACTAAGCTGCTGAGTTTGGCTTTGAATTTGCAATTCACCTGCCTCAGACTTCTAAGTTGCTAGGACTACAAGTGTGAGCCGCCCCGCCCAGGAGAAGCAGACATTTTCAGCACTTGTCAAGCTCCTATCCTGTGGAAACATTATCAGGCACAGGCACTTTTCCTACTGTGTAAGGAGGCAGGTATTATAGCCCACATTTTACAGGGGAAGAACAGAGGTATGTTGAGGTCCCAGGACACACAGCCGGCAGGGACCAGGCTAAGATTTGACCAGGGGTCTGTCCAGCTCTCTCTCTGAGGCCCAGGTGTGGGAGAAATCATGTCAGCACAGTTTCTTCCCGCATCTTTTCTCACCTTGGCTTTCTCAAGCTGAGCTAACGCCTGACGTTCTGCCTCCTTCCTCAAGGCTTCCCGGTCCTCTTCTAGAGACACGTCAGAGTCTGACGGGCGGCTAGTGTAGGACTCTGCTGAGCCCTGAAAGCAGACAGGGTCGGCTCAGGGCCAATGCTCTCTCTCCTAGCCCTTGGGCTCGGGAAGGGCTAAAGGTGCCACCCATCATGGAGGTCTGAGGCCCAGTATGATGCCACAAACCTAGAAGGTAGTATGAGGGTGGAGGGGTGGGGCCAAGGTTTATAGGTCCTAGGGAGAGTGACAGCAGCAAGCAGAGGGTTAAGGCATGTCTAAGGACAGCTGCTTGGAGTCCTGGGAGGGGTGGGAACCTGATAGGGGCATAGCACAGGGGAGAAATGCCAGGGGATGAGTCTCCACTCCCTGCTCCTCCTTTCCTGCCCTGCCCCCAGCATCACTGCTGAGAAGAATCAGCAGAAGCCCAGTGGCATTCCTCCCAGGGACTGCAGCCACCAGCTAAGGCCTGGCTCTCTGCACTGCTGCCAGTGGGCAGCCTGCTCAGCGTGATGGGGTCAACAATATTTTGCCTACCTTCTGCTAAAGAGCAGGTGAGGACAGAACTCCTACCTCCTGGCCCTAGTTGGGACTGCCTGAATCAGGCCACCCCACTCAAAGCTGACCCTCCACCTCCCATAAGATACAGAAGAGAACACAAGATTTCTGGGGTGGCACAGGCAGAAGCAGCAAGTTAAGAGCAGAATATGGAACAGGCACTTTCCTATCCAGGCTCCAGGGTTAAGGCAGGCTCAGAAGTCTGGGTGTGCCAGGAAACTGGCTCTGACCACAATGACCAATCCAGGGCACAAGGGACTCCTCTAGGGGTGCACACATATATGTGAGACACAGGTGGCCCATACAGACCTAGCAGCACAGGTCATGAACATGCTGATTCATGAGTACACCGGAAGTGCCAGGGCAAGAATGTTTGGGAAGGTGTATTCTATGGCACGTGCTGGCAATGCACAACCAAGTACACTCAGGGAGCCACCCTAGGTCTGGGTCCCTGAAGATGGGAGTCATGTGAGGACAGGAGACAGGACTATAGATTTGTGTGTGACTTCCGGAATGGTGCTGACAGAGTGGGAGAGAATGTGAAAGAGCAAGATTGCAGAGATATGAGGGACTTTTCCCGAGGGCATGAAAGGTCACTTGGCTGGGAATGTCTGTTAGCATGGAATGGAGGGGACCCAGGAAAGAATGAAGACAAAGTCCTATATCTCCTCAGAAATCCCTCATCATAGCTGGTACAGGTGCCCACCCCTTTCCCAGTCAAATCATGAAAATGGGAGATTTGCCTGGGGATGGAGAGTCACTAAACAGCAGCTGGGAAAGAGACACAAACCAGGGAGAGGGGAAAAGTGGCTTCCATCCCTCCCGATGGGAGCACTCAGTGAAGAAGACAGACACCCAGAGAGGCAGAGAAACAGAAGCAGATGAACGGTCAGAGAGGTACTCACTGACCCCAAGGCACCTGCAGACACAAACACTGACACAAACACACACACATACACATGCTCCAGAAATGGTGGGAGACAGTAAATAGTGAGGAGGCGAGGAGACAGACTGGCCCAGAGGCCCCCTACCAGGTTTTCTGAAGGGCTGTTCTACCCACCCACTACCTCACCCCATCCCAGCTCACCACCACAAGGGTCCGGTTGGGCGCCTCCATCCCGGCGCCCTCAGTGCCCGGCCCCACTGGCTTAAGGGGTGGCCCAAAGTGCCCGTCCCCCCAGGGTGCTCAGGTTACAAGCAGAGTTGCTACATGTGCAAACTGCTAGGGTATATTTAGCTCAGAGATGTGGCAAGGACTGCCCCCCCACTCCCGCCACCTACTGGGGGTCAGAGCTGGGAGCTGAGAGGAGGAAGTATTGGAAGCTGGGGTCTGACCCCTTTGGTTGACTAAATACTGAAGGAACTAAGCTCTCGTCTGCCAAGAGAGGCAGCAAAAGCACAGAATCATTCTTTCCAGTCCTGACCCTGGCCCTGACCCTGGCCCAATTCTGCAACAGGAGGGATGAAGGAGCAATTGAAGAAAGGACTTTCCATACGTGTACTTAGGAGATGCTTGGATGAAGGCCTCCCTTCTGAATCTCCCAAATCAGTCCTGGGCTCAAATCAGGCCTGGGCTCATATATGTCAAGGGTAGAGATGGAAGAATAAAAAAGAAGAGTCTACTCCAATCTGTAGTAAATCTGCTTGCCACTATCCTCTTGTTCCCGGTCCCAAGCAGACTACCTCCAAGGAACTCCTCCTCCCTGCAGCCCTCTGCCCTCACGTGCCCTGCCTGTTTTCTCTTTAACACACTCTTTCCCTTGTCTGATTCCAAGCCCCTCTTGCCTTTTTTGGGTACCAGGCTTTGTTGAGATACTCAGTAGTCATAGCAACCACATGTCTCCCTCACTGCCTCTCCCTGAGCCTAAGATGGCCCGAGTTGAGAATTAGAAAAGAGGAGAGTGTCAGTTTCCTGGCCAAGCACAGCAGACCCAGCAAGCTCTTCTCAGTTACCCCCCTTCTGTCACAGGTGCTGGGCCACAGTCATCTCTAAAATCAAACACCTCCTGCCTATCCCCACAACACTTTCTCTCTGAATATTAAAGAGAGCCACATTTGGATGTGGAGAGCTTGTTTCTCTGACCCCCACTTAAACAAGGCTTCAAGGACCCAACTGCCCTAGCTCCTCATTTTCTAGCACCTGCCTCCACCCCACCCTGTCACAGATTCTGGGGGAGGACATGGAAGCAGACAGCCGGCAGGGGGAGTGGGTGACAGCCCGAAGCAAGCTAGAAGGAGGCAGGCCAGGCTGTCCCTGAATGAGATGACGCAGGCAGGCAGCAGGGGCTGGTGCTTGGTGCTGGGGGAGGGGCGGGGCGGGGGCGTGGGCTGAAGCAGTGGGTGCAGCTGCCAGCATATCCAGGAGAGGTCATGGGGAGTCAGGGTGTTGGGCTGGTTCCAGGCAGGTGACAAACGACACGGGGAAGAGTGCCTAGAGAAAGCCGCAGACCAGCTCACCAATGCTGGCCTCCACCAGTCAGCCACCTCCCTCCTCTCAGCCCAGCCTCCCCATTACCTGCCGGACAAAGCTGTTGGATGTTGTATCTGAGGAAGTGCTCCCATCAGACCGTTTGAACCGTCCTTTCCTCTTGCTGTATTTGCCCTGGAGAGGCCAGGAAGGAACAAGAGTGGAATCATAAAGGACCTTTCCCAACCCTCAAACCACCAGATCCAGAGCTACTGCCAAGTCTTGGGAATATTGTTCTCTGATCCGCACAGCCCCACCCCCATTCCCCTGTATCATCTTCTGGAGGTGGTACAGCCCGAGGGGAGAGAAGGTCTCCCATCCCACTGAGAGAGCCCAGACCACAGTCACACTCCTAGGGAACAGTTCAAGGAGCCTAGGGGCACACACAGAAACCCCCCAAACCAACGTAGAGGCTGGGGAATGGGAGGCCTGAAAAGCGGAAGGTTCATTAGGCAGCAAAGCTAATTAAGATGCTGGGCAGGCTGCAGAGGCCTCCAGGGAAGGGAGAGGCTGCCTGCAATGCTGGGGGGCGGAGAGAGCTAGGGAAGTTCCTTCCCACACCCCCTCAGCTGGAGCTGAGGGTCTGAGAGTGCCAAAGGCCTCCAGAGAGAGGAGGGAACACTAACCCAGGGCCCAGCAGGGCTTCTCCCTTGAGCCCAACTCTTCCCTTCCCAGAGTAGGGAGGAGATGGCATCTCTGAGCTCCTAGAGACCCAGAGCTAGATTTCTGGGGAAGAGGGAAGAAGCATGAAACCATATTTTTAAACATCCAAACCCAAATGTGGTGTGCCTTCATGGGAGTCAGTGTTGCTCCCCATTCCCCACTCTGCCCTGGGGGGTCTTTTTCTCAGCCAACCCCACTCACAATCAGTGGCCACACCCCTACCCAAAGGGGCAAGAGGGATCCACTCTACCCTCCAGCTGCCACTGCCCATGCCCCATACCCTTGGTAGCAACCTGACTACATCAATCTAAAGGCTCCTTGGCCCTTCCCCAAGGTAAGCCTAGGACACAGTCCCACAGGTCCCAGGGGTAATAGGCTGGTGGCCTCACTGACTGAACTGGTGGCCTGGGTGGGGTGCACCTCCTAGTTAGGGGGCCACACATTCAGGTTCAGGCTTCAGGTGTCTTGAGTCTCCTAAGAGGGAATTGCTTCTTTATCCTCCCAATGAAACATAAATGCTTGGCCCCAGTCCAAACCAGAATGAGCAGGATGGAGGGCTCAGATCTCCAAGCTGCTGCCCCCAGATTCCATCCCAAACTTTCTTTTAAAAAAAAATTTTTTTAATTGTAGATAGACACAATACCTTCATTTATTTTTATGTGGTGCTGAGGATTGAACCCAGTGCCTCACGCATGTTAGGCAAGAGCTCTTCACTGAGCCATAACCTCAGCCCCCAGACTTTCTTAAGCCAAAGAACCTAGATGAGCCAAGACCAGACTCCATACTCTGGCTCTGTGGATCTTGGTACAAGAAGGATGATGATGGGAGAGGATACCTGGGAAGCCCTTCCGGGGTCTTCCCTCCCCCACTCTTCTTTCAAACTGGACATATACCCAAAGTAGTTTTTCAGTTCCCTACAAACCTAAGAAGATTCTGCAGTGAATCCCAGACTTTCACACTACCACCACCATTTCAGGCTGGGCAAAGGGAGTGCCGCCCAGAGGGACAGGGGACAGCTGAAAGGAAGGCTCTAGTCAGCTGCCTCCCAGGCTCCAAGGGGCCTGGGGTGGAGAACAGAGGTATTTTTAGGTCTGACCTGACCCCCCTACACACCCATCAACCACAGTTCCATGGTGGTTACAGTTGCTCCAGGTTGGCCACAGCAATACAAGAGTTAATGCCATCCTTGGGGAAGGACGTGTCCTAGAGAAATGCCCTGGCAGGACCACCCCAGACTGTGCTGGTCACTCTATGGGAATCTAGGAGTAGCACAGGGGCATGGGAAAGTGTGCGAGTGCATGGGGCAAACAGACCCCCTCCTCCAGTTAAAACAGCTACCTCCCCTCCAGGACAGTGAGTTGGCATCTTTCCAACTTTCCAAACTTTGGAGGCATTTTCGGGGCTGCGGGGGAGGGGTAAGCCAACGTGGGTATCCGGAGAGGGGAACTGGTCCAATACAAGGACGGAGTGAGGTGGCTGGAGGGGTCCTTGGGCCAGGAATGGCCCCTTCTACACCCTCGAGGACCAGGGTCTGAGGCTTGGAAGGCCTGTTGGCACCGCCCTCTGACCACTGCCTCGGCCATCTCCCAGTGCCACCCCCGCCCCACCCACCCCCGCCAGGCTTCCCCAAACGTGCTTCGCGTCGCCCCCCTTGCCTGGTCGATCTCTAGCCTCCCTCAACCTCCCCTTCTCAAGGCCCAGATCCCCCAAACAACACCCCCAACAACCTCAGCCACTGGAGCCGGTTCCCGAGCAGCAGGGACCGTGACGCGGGGGAGAGGAGGCGAGGGTGACAGGCAGCCCACCCGCACCCTCCCAGCACCACAGCCCAACTCCGGACCAATCATTAACCCGCAAGAATGGGGGGGGGCGAGCACCCCTTTCCCCTCGGCGCCGGGTATATAACCCTTTCCTTCCATGGTCCCTCTAGTCGACCCCAAGGTCCGCGGAGCGGCCCTCTTCTCTCGGGCCGGCACCACGCCTCACCTGTGGGCTGGGATCGAAGACCTCCATGGGAATCTCCTGGGAGGGTGGGTAAGGGCCCCGGGACATGCTGCTCTTCTGGACCATGGAGAGTAGCCTCCCCTCCGGCCGCCGGCCCGGCCCAGCCGGGCGCCCTCAGTGCATGGGAGAGGCCGTCGGAGCCGAGGGGAGAGCAGCGCAGCGCAGCGCAGCCACAACCGGGTCCAGCCGCCCAGGAGGGCCTTCGGCTGCCCGCTCGATGCCTAGCCTCGTTCCCTGCTCGGGCTCTCTCTTCTACCTCAGCA